CTGAGGCCGACTTTGAACTCACAATCCTCCTGCCTCAGCCTCCTGAGGCAAAAAATACTTTTGACGGTTCAGCTTCTGTGATGATTGACATTTAAGGAAGCCTTCTTTCAAATTTTCTAACACTAATACAAAAGCTGTTATCAAAATGTATAAAAATGCTTCTAAAACAAGTTAGATTTAATATTTTGATTTGGTGATCAGTTTATGATATTTTTTACAATTTTGTTTCCATACAATGTTCTTAATGAGGGTTTGGGCTTCCAAGTCATTCTCTTCATTCCTGGTACACCAATGTGAGCTCTTTGCTTCGGTTTAGCAATGCTGGAAGCCTGCACATCTCTGCACTTGATTGGTTGGCTTTAAAGGGATTACTCCTCTGGAAAGGCACTGTCTCACATCATGTTGCCAGCAGTGTGGTCTCAACTGTGATTAAAAGTTTAGGTTGAAGATGAGCATTTATCCTGAAAAAACTTTAGGATTCTTGTATTGTAGGGATTTCACACACTATATTGACTTAAAGTGTTTCTGATGAAGAGCTCTGTCATTAAAACCATCTTAAACATCATATCCAGAAACAACAACTGACTCAATGGCAAAGAGGTAATTCCCTCTTGTTTTAAAAGAAGCGAATACAATTAAAAATTTCCAACTACACAAATAGCCTTCATCAAAATTAACAATATCTGAGGATGTCAGCTAATCCAATAAATCATCCTATTTATACTTAGATGAAATAAAACAATGACTTTTAATTTTTATTTTGCATTTCCCGGCTACTCAAACATTTGTCAATTTTCAAATTCATTATTTTACCTGAATTTACTGAATAAAATGCTTAGTTGCAGTTTCATCAGCTTGCAATTATTACTACAGATTCTTCCCCAGTGTAAGGATTCTGTTTTATTTATGTTCTGTAGCTCTTTATTTCCTCCTAAACTTTTTGTTTGAGATCGACACTATATCAGTGTTATGTAACCATATTTTAAATTTGTAACATGCATACATACGTACACGTTTATCTCTCCCTTGAACCCATGATCCTGAAAATTAAACACAATGTGTCTAAAAAGAAAAAAGTACCTCGGTGTGTAGGGAAAGTGTAGACCTGTAGAAAGACACTAAAATAACAGTTGTATGGCATAAGAAGGTAAAGATGTTATCTGTCCTTGTTGATAACAATCCCCGTGATTTATTAACAGCACAGGCAGCCAATTTAGCACACAAACCAGGTCCTAGGGTTGGCCATTAAGAAGCTGGCAACCTAAAGGAAATTAGGACTTTAAAGTTTCCTAAAGCGTAAGGTGATTTAAAAAACAAAGCAACCCCCCCCCCCACACAAAAAAATGGTAAACCGAAAAACCTGGAGAAAATACTCCAATTAAGAGTCTCCTTGGCAACTCAGATGGAACCAAATGACTCAGGTGGACTATTAGAATAAACTGTGCGCCGTTCCCTTTCACTAGACCTATGAAGCCCATAAAACTAAGAATTACTAGCACCTTCCTTTTCTCCTTTTTAATATTCCATACATTCAGCAACAGTTCTTAATCTGTGGTCTTCATTCATTTTTGCCTAAACGAGATCCTGAGTGACTTTGGTGACCACTCCTTTTAAGCTGGCCTTATCTGACAACGAAATTAAATGCCCTCGGCGGAGAGAGGGTCAAGACTGAACGGTAAGTCACCCAAAGGTGGAAGCATCTTGCTCTTATTTACTTATTTATTCAAGAGGCGGCGATGGCGGCGACCAGGACGAGGACGGGGGGCGGGGGGAAGGGGTGCGCGGGCTGTAAGCTGCACCCGTGGGGTAGGTCTCTGCGGAGTGGGATCAGCCACACTCCTCCAGCTAGACCCGCCGGACCCTGAAGACGACCAGCCCCTCCCCCACTGCACCCTTGACCCCTCCCCCTCTTTCCTGGGCCTTTCATCAGCCCGCCAGCTGCCCCCAGACCTCACTCCGCCCGCCTCCTTCCGCAGCTCCCGCCTACAGCGCGGGCAGGCCCAGGGCAGCCCACCAAGCCCTCAGCCGGGCGGGGACCCTAACCCGACCCCTCCGGCCGCGCCTCCCCCTGTATAATGCACCTGCGGCCCCGCCCCCGGCCAAACACTGAGGTGGCGGCGGATAGGCGAGACCGGGCAGCGGAGCCCTCGAAGTGCAATCACCTTCCCTTCCCCCGCCATTCCGCCCACCCCGCTGGCTCAGCCACCGAGCAGCCGCCGCGCTCCTCAGCCGCCCCGAAACCTAAAGGGGTCCGTCTCCGGCACCACAACCAAATGGCTGAGCCTCCCTGGCCGGCTGCGCAGCCCGCCCATTGGGCCCTTCCCCCCCCATGCCGCCACAACTGGCTGTTGCCCGGAGACTCTCAGCAGCGATTGGCTCAAGCTGCTGCCCCTCATCCGCGAAGCCGCAGATCCCGCCTCCATAGTGATCAGGTTAGTGTGCGCCGCGGGTGCTGGGGGCTCGAGAACCGAGCGGAGCTGGTTGAGCCTTCAAAGTCCTAAAACGCGCGGCCGTGGGTTCGGGGTTTATTGATTGAATTCCGCCGGCGCGGGATCCTCTGCAGAGAGAGAGCGCGAGAGATGGACATGGACAAACGGATCCATTTAGAGCTGCGGAACAGGACGCCCTCTGATGTGAGCATTTGCCAAAAATATCTCCGTCGGTCCATTCTCCTACTTTGTGTGTGTATGTGTTATGTGTGTGTGTGTGTACGCGCGCGCGCGCGTATTGGGGGAAGGCACTTTTTTTTTTTTTTTTTGAGGAGGGCGACCCGGAGGTGTAGGCTTGGGGGTCCGACTGCAAATGAATTGCAAGATTGGGGGTTGCAATGCCATCCGAGCATGTTCCGGCTGCCGCCGCCGCTGCCCTTGGTGTGTGACTACCTGTGCGTGTGCTCCCGCGTGTGCGAGTGTGGGTTCGAGTGTGTGCGTGCGAGTGTGCACCCATCGGGGGCCAGCAGGCGCACGCGTTTGGGTCGGAGAGAATGGGGCGAAATAGCCCTTGGGGCTCCCTGCTCCCATGACTTCGTCTGGGGGAAAGATTAACGAGGGAGGAGGAAGGAGGAGGAGGAGAGGGGCTGCCTCCTGGATTTAACAACAAAAAGGGGGGGTGTTATATTTTATACATGTATCCCCTCCTTCCGCCCCCTCCCGCGCCTGCCCCCTCCCTTTCTCCCTCGCTCGCGCACACAATAAGTTTTGGGTTTACGCGAGTCCAGTTTAGTTTCTGATAAATGTGGGCCGGGGCCCCCAGGGAAAGCGCGTGGGGAGGGGGCTGCAGTGGAGTTGGGAATGGCTCGAGTTTAAAGTGCGTCTTCATTTCTTTGCAGTGATGAGGCGAGAGACGGGGGAGCCATATTTGTAACTTTGTAGTGTTCGTGAACGCGCCCTTTCTCTCCCTCCCTCCCTTTCTCTGCCTTCCTTCCTCTCCTCCTCTTTCTCCCTCACTCTTTCCACCCCACCTTTGGGCCAGATGCTGATGTTTCTTCCTTTCCTAACGAAGGGAGGATAAATTGGAGGGAGGGGGAGGGATTTTCGAACGTGCAAAGGCACAGATAATCCCCGCGCCTCCCCACCCCGAGCGATCGTTAGTGCAAGTTGCCCAAAGGCTACGTCCCGGTCCCCCTCGCCCAGCTCCCTCCTAAGATGCCAGCCTTTGGGCCCTGGTGCCCCTCAGCACTAGCCCCTGGCCAGTCCTTCTCCCGGGTGGGCTCCCTGGCAGCCATTCGGCACTTGGTTAATAAATGGGCACGAGAAACTTTGTCAGGACGCGAGCTGCCCAGAGCCGGTGCCCGGGGTGGGTATTGACTGGGTCCACATTTATGCGGGCATGGCAGACGCGCAGCTTCAGGATGGGAGTTTGCCCTCCCGTCGCCGTTATTGATTGGGCCGCGGCGGGAGTCCGGCCCGAGGAAACTTGCACGGGTGGGAACTAGAAGGCTCGGGCGAAAGCCCACCTCCGAGGAGGAAGGTGAGGCTGGGTGACTTGAACACTCGTTTTTGTTTGTTTCCCTCTTCCCCTTAAAACACCAGTGTTTTCTGCGAGTTGGCGCTCAGCGGAGGAAACCCCTGGGCCTGGGGCGGAGACGCTAGCTGACTCTCCTCTGGGCCCTCGGGGGCACCTGGGGCGCGCAGGCAAGAAGACCCCGCGTCCAGCCTCGGTGCCCGGGGTTGCGCGGAGTTGGGAGTCCGGGCAGCACCGACTTGTCGCCCTCAGCGTGTTAGACCGAGTCCTTGGCGAAGGCAGGCCTGGCTTCCTCTTTTCCCTAGTTCCTCCCCCAAACCTGAGTGAGACTTTTGAAAACAAGATCCTTTTTGTCCCCCCCACCCCCATCATAACGCAGCTGTGGACTGTAGACGTGCGAGTGCCTTATGGCGCGCAGGGCGGGGAGGAAGGGGTGCCGCCACAGAAGGCAGGAGTTTCCGCGAACAATTTGCCGGCGGCCCGCTTCTTCCCGGCTGGGACCCCGGGCCCGAGCTTTTGGGGGCTGGGTGTGGTGATGGGGGAGGGGGCTCGAGCTGCGGTCTTCCCGCGTACTTTCCGGAAGCCCCCTCTGCGGAGGGGGAAGGGCGCCAAGTAGGGGGCCGGGGTCGTGGCCGGTGGGTGTGGAGGCGCGGTGGCCGGACCAACCCGACCAGCGCTGCTGGCCAACTGGGAGCGACGTCGAAAGCGGGTCGAACCGGCTCTTTAAACTTCCCCGAGTGTGTGCTGGGGGAGGGGAGCGCTCCGCGCCGAACTGGGAGCGATTTCTCACGCTTCGCCCCCTCGCCTCCGAGTCCCCGGCCCACACGCCTGCCCCCTGCCTCGAGGCGGGGGGGGGAGGGGGCACTTTCTGCACATTTGGGGGGGGAGGGAGAGAAAGCTCGCGAAAGAGGGACAAAAGGGGTGGGGGAGGAGGAACTGTTTTTTTTTAAATAAACGTTTTTAAGACGAATAGCTCCCGGAGAGCGCCCCCTGCGCCCCTCCCCGCCGCGCTCCCACCCGGACCCCCACACACCCACCTTTGGCACCTCTCCCAACTCGGATCCGGGGGCTGGTGGCCACGCCGCGACGCCGA